GGTCTATTACGTACAGGATGATGTCTTCTTTAGTACTCCAAATGAGTTTATAGATTTTGTGGCACATCGTTTGAATCCTGATGGAGAGCCTATAGGAGAATTTCTGAATGAAGGTCCCAGAGATGTCACATATAGGTATAGTCTGATTATTGCCGACTTAAGTTCGAGAAAAATGTACCACTTATCCAAACCGGTTGCATCTGAGCGAGCTGTTAAGGTACAAGAAGTTCCTTTTGGTGTCCATACCCTTTCCCTAGACGGGCTTGATCATACCACAGCTCCCAAGGTGCTTTTTGCAACCGATCGACTTGTTTTTGTTCCTCTTAAAATTAAGAGAATCAGCAACACTAATCTGGTTTATACTTTATTTATGCAGGATTTACGTTTAAGATCCCTGTTTGATCACAACGTAGGCTCGTTTGACGGCAAGACAATGTCATTCCTGGAGAAGCTGGCCAAGAAGGTGATGATGGATCGAGAACCAACCGTCGACCAAGACCCACTGTCTGCTATTTATGTTGAGAAGATGGCTTGTCACGGAGTTTCAGTCCAAGTGAGTAAAGATATCAGCAATGATCCTCGCCTTCTTAATCAATTACTCTTTTTCTTTCCTTGTCAGCTCGGAATCCAGCGTTACGGAACATCGAGCACCACCGCTTTTTCTGTGAGACCCGTTACGGAAGTCACAACATCAGCGACATCTCCCAAAATAGAAGCCCTGTTCTACGAAATCAGTCCCCAAGGCGAACGCAAAATTACATTCGACATCCAGTCTTAAGTTCTAAATACTACTTCAATAGTACTACAGATAAATAATCTTGTTGATGCTGCTTTTAATTACTAGGTGAATATCTTTCGTATACAATATCTACACATCTATGTGTCAACAACTTTGTTATGTTTCTGGTTTTATCTTTTCTAGTTGTGTCAATAAATGTATCCTTAATTTGTCATATTTTTGTTTTCTTGTCGAAATGGATGCTTCTTCAATTTTTAAGAAACCTACTCAACAAGTAAATAATCTCCCTGTCAAAGTCCAATTCTTGCTATTTGGTTACAAAACACACCTACTCAACAAGTAGAGACTCTAATTAACAAACATTGACAGAGATTATATTAGATCATATGAGACTTGGTCTAAAGACTGATATATAATCTCTTTGATTCTCCTCTTAACTCTATCCGGACAAGCTTCAAGATCTCAATAATCTGCTAGAGATAAACATCAAAGTCGTAGAAAAGTATACTATACAATGACATTGTGAAGATCGAGAAGCTAAAAGGTGTCAAAGAACGTCATGGGAAGCATAAGATCAAAGCTTCGAGCATTAGTTCGGAAAGGTAAAAAAATGGTTAAATTAAACTTCCACGGTTAAATGTTAAGTTACGGTGTTTGGGGTTTGTTTAGCTAAGCTAAAACAGAAAAAGAGATTCCATTGCTAATTGTGTGCACTTGTAGTAAAATGTTTTATAAAACAG